CATCTCTATGCACATAAGTATATATATATATATATATATATATATAATTTCTCTTTGTCAACACAGTACATCCTCTATTCTTTCTTGTCCTCAAAACTCATTGGACCTCCTCTGTTTCACCCTCATTTTCGTCATTATCCAGATAATCCTCAAACTCACCATTGGTGAGATTGTTATCATCCGCCGACAATATGGCAGCATCCTCAATTGAACTAACAGTTATTTCTTTCCCACTTTTTCGACGCAACATATCCGCATGCTTTCGCAAGAGAATTGCCGCAAATGTCCAGGAAAAAAAACAGCTTGTTGGATAGGAGCCCTTCTCGAGAACATCCCGCGCTTCATAACCCTTTAGCATTTTTTCTGCTCTAATAAAAAAGGCCTTTTTTCTCCGTTTTCTGTCCGTGGGATCAAAAGAAGACATCTTGTTTAAAAGATCATTGTTCACTTTATCCCTAGCGTCCGCCCACTGTTCAACGCTGCTTGGCTTTTTCCCCAACGCAATAATAATTGTTGATTGTACCACTAAAGGAATAATTGGAGGTGGATGCATATACCTTGCTAACTCCAACAATTGATCTGGAGTAATACGACCAACATTATCCACGGTGTGACTCCACATAGACTTGAGAAAGAGGATAGGTGAGGCATTCAAATTTTGAATTTCCTCTTCGATTTTTAGTGACTTCCCCAAACTCAAAGCATTCGTAGAATTTAAAAGAAGCTTTGCCAGAATCTGAACAGTGTCCCTCAGTACTCCCTTATCGGACTCAGTAAACATCCGTTTTGTCCCAACGCAGTCTAGAAACACCACGCCGAGAGAACGGCATTCCCCATTCGAGTTGTTACCCGTTATCGTTCCCAGGAGCAAACTACCTGTATTTTCGCCCTCCAAAAATCGTTTGACCTTTTGGTTCTGAAACGGAATACAGCTAATATCATTTACATCATCAATGCAAAAAACCATAGAGTCAGCCTGAACTGTTGCAGCTTTACACGCATTAAAACTAATGCCATTTCCTCCTTGTTCATCAACAAGTTCATGTTTTTTTCCAATCATAAAACGATGTGATGGAGATGCTGCCACATACGTCATAAAATCACCATCCTCATCTCGCAAAGAAATATAACAATTTTCACATCCTGTTACAACAGAAAGCCACTCAACACATTGTTGGCATAATTGAGATTTTCTTTCCTTTTCAAGTTTTGAATCCATCATTCGACTCACTTCCCATACAACTTTTGCAGCCTCTTGCATCTCAGCTGGGTGAAAACTATTTTCTCCATCGCGAGAAATCGCAAAAACATAGGGTGCATAATTCAATCCAGTAAGCACTAAAGGCAGAAAAATTACCGCCTCATCTCGTTTTTCCCCCGAGGTATCAAATAAAAAACATCTATCATCCGTTCGACTGTTTTGAATATACTCTACCCTTGAAGAAACATACTGTTCAAACAAACCTGTCGGAGCACCATGAAGCTTCCCCGAGGAAAAAGATAATGCATTCTTTTCCATGATTGTTTTGCCCAAAAGATGGAAGTTTCCGTCTTTTTGAGGATCTTCCAAATAACAACCACCTTGACAAACAACCGTTGAGTTCATCAGCGCTTTGTCAATTTTCATAACATACGAAGTATCACCAACGGCACCTAAAATAGAAGATGTATTGCGAATAAGTGAAATAATATCCTCTCCTTCAGGGAAAACAAAAACGATTCTCTTTTGTTCTGACACAGGCATATTAATTTTTTCAACTACCAAAGATGTCATTTCGGCAGTTGGTAAAACTTCCTCTACCGCTGTTAAAGTTTGTGGCTTGTCCTCAGACATTGCAACATCCTGATGAGTATGATAATGTTTCATCCTTTCTCTTTCGGATCTTGCCTTGGCGCGACGTTCTTCTTCGCGCCTTTTTCGCTCAACCATCTTGGCTTGCTCCAGACTTTCCTTTCGAAGCCTTTCCGCCTCCTCTAACTCCTTCTGGTGTTGTTCCTCCCTTCTTCTTTCTTCCTCAATGGCACGTTCCCGTTCTTCCTCAATTCTCCGCCTCTCTTCCTCCTCTTTTTGGAGCCTATCTTTTAATTTCATCAAGCAGAATATTCGATGGCAGTCCCCATGAAGAAAAAGACTCTCAGACAATCCCACTAGTCCAGCTTCCTGAGACAACCTTAAACACTCCTCTTCCACGGCCACAACATTCTGTTCTCCAATAAACTTTTTCTTCTGAAGCAAATCAAAATCAGCATATAAATTATGCCGAGAAGCCACCCTATCCGCATGAAGTTTCTCCTGAAAGGCCATCATGTGTGCAACAGTTGCCGCCGATTTTTCTTGTTTTAGTCTTAACCTCTCTTCTCTTGCGGCAATCTGCTCTTCACCTTGTGCATTCGCCCGATCTAAAAAACACTGCTGCTTCACACGCGCCTGTTCTTCATCCTCCCAAGTGCGTGTAATCCACTTAACGTGCTCATCCTCAACTTCACCTGGTCGGTTCTTCCGCAACGCATAAGACTCCCATGTCTCATTTAAAAGGACTTGCCGATCGTAAACCGCCTCAGCGTAGTTTAACTCCTCGACGGTGGTTACTGGTAGTCGATAAACGTATTCAAACGGCCTAGCCTTATCCATCCTTAAATCACTTGCGTGATAGTGTAAATGATACAAAACAAAAGAAACAAACTACAAATAACAGAAAAACATAATAAAAGTAAAAAATAAAAATAAAAAAAAGACTCTCCTCATGCATTTGTCAAGAATAAAAAACAAGAACAACGCATGTAATTAACTTACTTTCATAAATTAATAATAATCAATGCTACGGTAAGAAAACACACCACGGCACAGATCATTGTAAAAACAAACAAGAACAAAAACGTCGGTAAAAATTAAATAGAAACAGAAGTGATATAAACAAATTAAAAACAAAACTTAGAGCTTCAAAATAAGAAAAAAAAGTAAAAACATATATGCGAAGATTAGCACACATTCAAACAAAGCCATAATAATATTAATAATATTTTTTAAAAATAATAATACAAAAAAAAACAAGACATAAAACAACAACACGGCAGAGGTCAATCCCCACACAACAATAGTAAAGCCTTTTTTTCCCCGTTTCTGTTAGAGGCAGATTCAAAAGCGCACAAACCATACAAAAAATAAAAAAACTCCAACACAAACAGCAAACAAAACACAACACATAAATAACAACAACAAACGAATACAAAGATTACATTGAGGGGAACGACGGGGAGGCATCATATCACATCTTCGAGAAGCTGGTGATCCAAAAAAAAAAAAGAATACGCCCCAGAGGGCCATTGCCGGAGGCATTCTACGAGTCCGTGTTTAACGCAACGTGGAGTCACGTTGTGGGATTTCCCGAAGGTGAAAGGGGAAGACACGGTATCGCTAAAGAGCCAACGGCCACAAGAGTTATTATGGACGGGAGTATACACAGACTATGTGTACTTTTTTTCTCACTGAGTGGTGCGGCGGCCGCAGAGTGGGGCTGCCGCTTCTGCTCTTGCAGCGGGGAATATGCTGCCGCACTCTTTTTGTTGGTTGCGTCGGGGGCAAATGTGCCGGCACCCTGAGAAACCGCGGGTTCCACCGCCACGACGACCGAAGGAGGCGGAGACGTCTGCGGCGGCCTTCGCAGGCTGCGCCCCGTGCGGCCCAGTCGTGTGGCAAATAGTTCCCTCGCGGAATTCACGTGCACCGCACCACGTGCCGGGCGCAGCGTATGTTTGCGTCGTGGGGGACAATGCGGTGGTGTCCATTCTCCTTCTTCTTGCGAGTGAACGAACAGGGGCGGGGTGCTCTGCTCCTTCGCACCTCAGCAAATTGCAGCGCAAATTGTCACCGCGACGAGGCAGTCAATTTCACTGTGAGTGGGTGATATTTGCGTGTGACTACGCACACACAGAGCTGTGGGGATCCGAATGCCAAATGCAATACGAGAA